CATCGGGCTCCCTGCTCAGCGGGAAGCCTGCTTCTCCCTCTGACCCTCCTCCCCCTGCTCATGCTTGTGCTCTTACTCAAATAAATAAAATCTTTAGAAAAATAAAAAAACAAAAGTTTCAAAATTATGATCTTCATATATTTAAACTTAATAATTTTTAAATAAACTTTAAATTCTTTCTTATATTTTAAAATACAAATGTTGCCTTCAAAAATCATCTGCCTCCCCAATCCGGCTCTCCACTGGCTCTATCCTCAGCCCGCTAGAGTGAGTCTAAAGTGTTCTCTCTGGGGGCGCCTGGGTGGCTCAGTCGGTTAAGTATCTGTCTTCGGCTCAGGTCAGGATCCCAGGGTCCTAGAAGCCCCGCATCCGGACTCCCTGCTCAGCGGGGAGCCTGCTTCTCCCTCTCCTTCTGACCCTCCCCCTGCTTGTGCTCGTGCTGACAAATAAATAAATGAAATCTTTAAAAATAAGGTAAGATGAAAAAAATAAATAAAATAAAGCGTTCTCTCTGTTCAGAATGCATTTTTCCCCAGCCCACCACCTAGACTGGCTTTCCATCTTCCACCTTCACTGAAGTGTAACTTACAGACAATAAAATCCAAGCATTTTAAGTGGACACTCTGATGAGTTTTGTCAAACATACACACAAAGGTGTCACGACCACCTCAATCAAAGATAAAGAAAATGACTGTCACCCCAGAAAGTTCCCTCTGCCCTCCCCCCCGCCAAACAACCCCCTCTCCACCTCCTGCCCCGGACACCCCCGGCTCTGTTATCACCACAGATGCCTCTTTTAGAACTTCATAGAAAATAAAAACACACACCACGCAGCCTTCTGTGTCTGGCTTTTTTGGCTCGATATGTTTCTGGAATTCATCCCTGTTGCTCTGCGTGTCACGAGTTTATTCCTTTTTATCCCTGAGCTGTTTCCCACTGTGGAAATACACCACAACGTGCATACTAACTCACGCTGGACATTTGGATTGGTCCCAGATTGTGGCTATGAAAATAATAGTCCTCTTGTATAAAAAATACTTTTTGTGGACATGTGTTTTCAGAGTAGATAGCAGGGAGTGGAAGTGCTGGGTCCCGGAGTAAGTGTACGTTTCCCTTTGTAGGAAAGTGCCAGGCCGTGTTCTCAGCAGTCCTGCCATTTCACCGGCCCACCAGCAAGGCACGGAGCTCCCCGTCCTCACCAGCACGCTCGGCCTCTCCTCTCCTCTCCTCGGGTGTGTCTCCCAGTGATTTAAGGTGCATGTATTCCCCGGACAACGGAAGGCACTGCCCTTGACTGCCTTTTCACATACATCAGGTGCAGCTTTCATGGAAGTGTCCACTCAGACCTTCTGCCCCCCTTATTATGTTGTTCATCTTTTTCTTACTCCTTCCTGCCCAATACCCTGCAATGACCTCCCCGAACCTCAGGGAAGACCCAGCTGTGGGCCAGGCAACAGGGTTCATGACCTCACAGGCCTGTCTCCAGACATCCCCCAGTTCACTTTTCCATCCACTGAGTAACAACTATTCCCCATCTCCAAGCCCTTGGATACACTCTACCTTCTGTCCGAATGCCCTTCCCTTCTGCCTCCTCCACCTTCCCGAAGTCTCCCAGAGTCCCTCTTGGAGGACATCCGCCCTCCTCACATGTCTACCCAGACAGGTTGCCCCCCCCTTTCCTGTGTGCTCCCCTCACACCTTTGAGACCTCACGGACTCATTCACCTTTTGGCCCCCACCATCTACCACGATAGGCACAGACTATGTCCAAGTGCATACGACAGATGAATGAGCCAAAGAACGAGCAAAAGTAAGTCAGGGAAGCATAATAAGATCCCATAATTCTTAAAACGTATACAGTAGGTCATTCTACAGGAACCCGTTCCCCAGGACAAAGCAAACTAAATCACAATGCTGAGAAACACATGGAGGAGGAGGCGGCCAACCCCAACGCCAGTGGTGGAAGACAGCCAGAATCTGAGCCCTGAACCTCAAGACTCCAGCGCCTGAAGAAGACAAGCAGGGGCCAAGCCCTGACGGTCCGTCAGCTCGGCTTCTGCCCATCACATCATGGAGCAGAACACAAGCAGGACCACTCACGGGTGCCGGCCGTGTTCCAGGCACTGGCCAGGCAACCGGACCCACGTTTCAGAGAAACCTCCCCGCTCTCGGAGGTGGGTTTTAGCACTTGTACTTCACAGACCCGGTAGGTGGAATAGCAATGTGCCTCTGGTCCACCAGGGCTCCCCGTTCCCCTGGCGCAATTTTACGTGGTCTCCTGATACTCAGATTCAACCATTCGCTCTTTCGCAACTACTACCCTGACCATCTCTCCCCTTCACTGTTTCCTGAAAATGTTCTACTATTCTCTCTCAAAGCCAGGAGCCAACCATGAATCCTTTCTATTCCTAAAAAGAAATGCTGAGTTCCAAGAATACAAAGCAGATAGGCCTATAGCCATCTATGAGAATCCAGAAACCCTCCCCGTCCATGCCTCAGCCATACGCGGGCCGCCCCTCCTTACCTTGATTTCTAACTTGTGGTTGATGGCCAGTGCAGAATGCTCCAGAGCTTTAATGACAGAGGCATACGAGTCTGAGAACTTGGTGTATTTGCCCACAAGGGCGATAGAGCAGGTCTCCAGCAAGCGATCATATCTATCAAAGGCCAAGAAACACCAAAGTATTTAGAACACAACGTATATACCACCATGAGATCAAAATTGCTTTCTTTAAAAAGAAAAACATCTCTGGGAAGCATATAATGGGAACAGGTATGATCTGAGTTCTACATACAGAACAGTAAAGAGGAAGCAACTTTCAAATCCACGGGGCAGGCTTTGTAAAAAAAGTAGGATTTAAGAAGTGGGCATGAAGAAATGGCTTCCAAATCTCACACAAAGTTTTTCTTAAAAATTAAAATCCCAAAGAGCAAAAAAAATTAACAGACAATTCATAGGAGTTAATGTGATGAAGGGAATAGTCAAATAAATCTTAGGACATTAACACAATAGTCTACAGTCACCAAAAATCTTCATCATAAAGTGTAATTAATAACAGAGCAAAAACGTCTGTAATGTTGTATGAAAACAAGATCCCAGAGCCGTGTGCCATTTTGGGGGCTGCCTATGGATATACGTGGAAATGCACAAAGCCTGAAAGGGAGAATGTCCAAAGGAAAACCCCTATCACAGAGCAAGGCAGGAGCGCCCCTGGGCCCGCGCTCTGAGGCTGCGGCCACACCTCTGAAGCGATGCGGAGCATCGCTGAACTTTCAGAGGAATGGGGACGGTTCTCAAAGCAAGGAGCTTTGGCAGCAGCAGTAACACGACTGGACACCCCCGCTCATCCTCTTCTGGTGGGCGGTGAGCGGCACATTCCCAAACCCAGCTCAGCTATCTGGGGGGGCCCAGGAGTGCCCAGCCACGGTCAGCCAGCGGGGCAGGCCTCAGGTACGAGAGCTCGCCCATGGCCACTAGACACCTGTTCGCCCGGATTTCCTAGTTGAGGGGACTCAAGGCCACAGGTGTGTGATCTGAGCTCAGCTCTGCCAGGACTTCCTCATCCCTGGTGCAGCAACCTGAGGGCTGAGTGCCTGTCTCTGCCTCTCTTACCACTGAGTCCTTTCCCAGCAGGAGTTGACAGCACAAGCAAATTCCCGGAGACCCTCCGGAAAAGAGAAATAAGGCCCGAACTCCCAGCTCCTTATCACGAGGCAAACCTGTCTGCCATCTCTTTCCACTTCATCAGCATTTTTCGTGGCTGCCTCTCGATCGGAAGGTCAAGTCTCCGGAGAAAATAGTCCACTACTCCCTGCTCCTCTAACAACAGGGGGACTCGGTAGATGGATGAGACATCATGGACACAGATCACCTGCATAAAAACGGGCAAAGGTTATTTAATAAAAACAAACAAAAATGAACTGGGCTGGCAGCCTCCTACTGGCTATATCACCTTCAGAAAATAACTTCTAAATCTGAAAATGGCATGGCCAATTTTCTAGAAAAACATACATTACCAAAACTGACTCAAGTACAGAATAAAAAATTAGAGGCTAATCTCTTATGAACATGACTGCAAAAATCCTTCAAAAAAAAATAAATCAGGGGCGCCTAGGTGGTTGAGTCGGTTAAGCATCAACTCTTGATTTCAGCTCAGGTCATGATCTCAGGGTCACAGGACTGATCCCCACGTCGGGCTCCATGCTCGCACTCAGCACACAGTCTGCTAGAGATTCTCCCTCTCTGCCCCTCCCCCGCCCACCCTCATTCTCCAAAATAAAATCTTAAAAAAATTTTAAAAAAAAATCACAAACCAAACCATAAATGTAGTTTAAAAAAAGAAAAAATTCATGTCCAAGTAGGATTTGTCCCAAGAACAGTGGCTGTCAAACTTGGCTGTACATTGGAGTCACTTGGGTGAGCTTTTAAAAATTCACAAGCCCACAGTGCACCCCACGCCACATAAACTAGAACCTCAGGAGGGCAGGGGGGAAGCAGGCATAAGTAGTTTTTCAGGCTGAGTCTGAAAACCGCTGCATTACGATATTGAACAGTGGAATTCACTACATGAACAGATTAAAAAGGGGGAAAAAAAAGTCACCTCAGTGGATGAAGAGCTAATAAAAATTCAAAACCAAGCCATAGTAAAAATTCTTGGTGAATTAGGACTATCAGGGAAAATGTGAAAAACATAAAGAAAAAAAAAAGCCCATAGCAAACATCATTTGGTTCTCAATATTTAATATTAATGCTTAATCTTTAAAGTCTGAAACAAGGCAAAACTGGCCACTATCGCTACTTCTATTCAGTAACGTACTAAAGATATTACCCACTACAATTAAGTAAGAAACACACACACACACACGTACACACACACACACACACTATATATATATATGAACTGGAAAATAAACAACTGCCAAGAACTGCATACAGTATTATTCCTTATCCACAAAAACCCTTAGAATTTACATGTAAACAAACAGAACTAGCAGAATTTCAGCAAGGCTGCTAGGCTTGAGATCAATTAGCAGAAGTCAGCAGGGTTCCTATACATGGGTCATATCTAATTAGAAAATGTAATTTTTAGGCTCCATGCCCAGTGTGGAGCCCAACATGGGGCTTGAACTCATGACCCTGAAATCAAGACCTGAGCTGAGATCAAGAGTCGGACGCTCAACTGACTGAGCCACCCAGGGGCTCCTAGAAACTGTCATTCTTAAAAATATGCCATTCATATAGTTGCAAAAATTATGAATACCTATAAATAATCCTAGAAAAAAACTTTACAAAGATAAAGAAATCTTAAAAAAAAAAAGCACCTTTAATAAGAAAAACATTATAGATTACTATTGAAGGACAGTCCTTCCAACAAAAGGAGTTGGAGCAACTGGCTATCCACCGGCAAAAAGACGAATTTCAACTTTTATTAGAAAGTTGCTATCCATAAAAGTTAACTCACAATGGATCCCAGGCCTAAATATAAGACCTAAAATTATAAAACTTAGAAGAAAACACGAAATCTTTTTGTTAAATGGAGTTCTTGGACAGGATACCAAAAGCACAACCTATAAAGAGAAAAATGGATAAACTGAAGTTCATCAGAACGTAAAAGCTTTTGTGCTCCAATAGATACCATTAAAGAAGTAAGACAGCCATGGACTTGGAGAAAAATGTGCAAATCATATATCTGATAAAAGACTATTATTCAGAATATACAGAGAATTCCTATAACCAGTAAGATAAGTAACAAAAAATAGGTGAAAGATTTGCAATTCAAACTTAAATCTAGACACACCTGTCACATTTTTAATAGTATTTTTTAATAACCTATCCTATCACGGAATTGAATTACCTTCGCTTGCTAGGATAGAAATACCTCAGATAAATGAAATGCCTAAGAAGGTTGTTCTTAACAATGAAATTATTCTGATGCTCTACATACAGACAGCTCCCGACTTACAATGTCTGCTTTAGGATGGTGTGACAATAACACACATTCGGTAGGAAGGGTACTCTGCATTTTGAATTGTGCTCTTTTCCCAGGCCAGCAACAGGCCGTTCACTCTCTCATGTGGGGCCGCAGCACCAAGCCGAAGCCTCCAGGCGGCCCCACCGTCACCAGGGCAAACAACCGACATGCTTTGTTCTGTACCCATACGACCACTCTGTTCTCCACTTTCAGTACCGTGTTCGATGAATTACACAAGATAGTCAATACTTTATTGTAAAACAGGCTTTGTGTTAGACGACTCTGCCCACCTGTAGGCTATTATAAGTCTTCTGAGCACATTTAAAGTAGGCGAGGTGTGTTAATGCATTTTCGACTCAGGATATTTTCAGCTTACCACAGGTTTCCTAGGACTTAGTCCACCGTTAAGTCAAAGATCTGTATCTGGCAGGAAGCAGAATTCCTGAGACAGAGCTCCCAGCCTGGGAAGCACACTGGGAACACTGATCTCAGGCCCCGGGCCACACTCACACCCAGACACCTGAGTGCTCGCGGAGATGGGGGGTCAGAGGCTGTCCTGCTCTCTTCACTTCAATGCCAGTGACTTTAACTTTTTGACCCTCGCTTCCTAATCTCCTGTAGTCTCGTAAATGAACTGTTCTTATTTGAACACTGCTGCTTCCTTCTCTCCTCCTTAGGCCAGCCGGGCTCTCCTGTTTCATCTCCTGATCCTCAGTAACCCAGCAGCAAAGCAAACCACTCACAGCCTAATCACAAATTCCTGGACCTCAACTTCCCTGCTCCTCTCCTTCAGCCAAGCTGAGTGACCCGCAGCCACAGTCTCAACTTACCACCACCACCAGGCCTTCCCGACCGTGCCCCACACTGGACATAGAACAAGTCCCCAAATTCTGAATTTCCTATTTAATAGGTACCCTCCATGAGGACATATAACGGAAAAGACTAGAATAGGTTTAGAGCCCATGCCACCTTAGACACTAGGCACCAGGGATATAAAGCTGAGTGAAGTGGTCCCTGCCTTCAAGAAGGTAACGGGGACACACACACACACACACACACACACACACACACACACACACACACTCCGAGGGGCAGTGTAACAGGCCCACCACCAGCACCTGTGACTCACACAGGTCGCCCAAGAAGGATCAACCGTGAGGTCTGAGGGGGAGGCGGTCTGACAGGTAAAGCTTCTCGGACAATACTGGGTCCCGGCTGAGCCCTGGAGGATGAAAATGATTAGGAGACAGCCAGGCCAACAGGGAGGGCGACACCATGCAGTGTGGCTGGAGCGAAGAGTACAAGGAGCAGGGAGAGAAGAGGCCGGAGAGGTCAAGTATGTCCAGAAAACCACAGACCAACAGCAACAGTCTACTGTCTCGAACTGTGAGATAAGCAGCAAGCCTCGTCAAAGTGGCTAAGAGACCTCAGGAGAACCAGAAGCAAACCACGACTGACGCGAAGATGGAATTTCGACTTACTTGTTCAGGTTCGACGTGGCAGAACATCGAGATTTTCTCTTTCACTGACGTGTCGAGAGGATTTGAGCACCTGCACACAACCTAGCAGTAAACAAAGTAAGACATTCAGACAGAAGAAAGGGATTACGGAGCTGGGGTTTTTTCCTGACTGAAATGAAAACAGACATCACCCCATGAAGCCGGATGAAAATGTTAACTCCAGCACAATGCAGGCCAACTATGAAAACAGGACCTGTTTTCAAAACTGAAATTCCTAAAATCCCACGCTGGAGAAACGTTAACGGTGGCGGTGCAGATGAACACGCAGGTCACGAACTACAGGAACCAGCTGGGGTCTTCCTCAGGTAAAGGCTTGGGTAGGAGAGAGGGGACAGCGAATGATGGACGCAGAGGAGCGACAAGGCACGACCTCAGGCAGGCCCGTGAGGCTCAAAGCACTAACCGTTTCCCCACCATCATCAAAAAGCATGCCAACAAAACAAAGGTCTTATCTGCTGGGGAGCAGACATACATACATTCATTCATTCATTCCCTTCCTTCCCTCCTTCCTCCATCTTATCTTTTTCCTTCTTTCTTTCCCTTTCTTTTTTTTTAACTGCAATATAGCTGACACACGATGTTACGTGGGTCCCAGGAGCAAAACAGAGATCGGACTCCCTACCCTACGCCGTGCTCACCATGAGCGCAGCTGACAGTGCCTCTCACCCCGGGCCTTAGTCACTCCCTACCCGGAAGTCTGTGGCTCCCATTCCTCCCTCCCCTCTGCCAACCGCCAGTTTGTTCTCTGTCTTTATCGGTCTGTTTCTGCTTTCTGTTTGTTTTTTCGATTCCATGTAAGTGAAGTCGCATGGTACGCAGAGGAGAGATTTAATTAGGCATGCAAGACCACGCTGAAACCAGGGCATCATAAAATCTTACCAGATCCGGAGAAAGCCCGAGCCCTCTGAGCTCCCGAACGCTATTCTGGGTGGGTTTGGTCTTCTGCTCCCCTGTTGAACTTGGCTATTTTACAAAAGGGAAAAAAAAGTTCATTTCTCTAGGATAAAGAATTTTCAGGATGAATTTTCTCTGAACCCCTTTTATTGATCAGTGTCTAACTGTTGTCATTTTTGTCAAAGGCGCACGTACACGTATTTTAGAGTCGGACAGTTCCACAAGGTCCGTCCTAACGACAGTGGTGCTGGTGCCCACCGAGTCCCTCCCCTTCCCCAAACCCCAGGGCAGCCACCCTCCCACTCTTAAATGATCCTTCTGATATGCTTCATGCTACTTCTTGACATGCAGTTTGAGACATTTCCTACTGATCCCCCTGTTAGATAGAGGAGGAACCCTCCCTCCCTACTACATAGGCACCTGTCCTGTGCCTACAGCCCATCTCATGATCTCTCTCCAGTGTTACGTGCGTTTCAGTATTTAAATCCTGCCCATCGTAAACCATGCACCTTTCTGTCCAAATTTGGTTTGTTTTTCTTGGGTTGGTGTTTCTGTTTTGTTTTGTTTTCTTGGCATGCTGAGCTTTGTTAAGTACTAAATTATCTCTATTCTCTTCTCACGCTTCCCAGATTTGCTGGGTACAGAATTCTAGGCTAGAAAGCATTTTTCCCTGAGCACTTGTAAAGAAATAGCTTCACTGTCTTCTAGCTTCTAGTATTGCTGCTTAGAAAGTGTAATGCCTTACTAATTCTTGGTTTTTCTCTTTACAGCCTTTTAGAGTATCTGCCCCATGGTTATGAAATTTCACAGTGATGTGCTCTTGCTCTGGGTCATCTCCCATTCAGTATGCTGGGCATTCGGCGGGTCCTTTCAATCTAGAAACTAACATCCTGAAATCTCCTTGAATTATTTAGATCAAAGGATCAGAAAACTTTTCCTGTAGAAGGCCAGGTAATGAGTACTTTTAGGTTTTATGGGCCATGCAGTCTGTCACAAGGTCTCGAACTCTGCTGTCTGAATACAGAATCGCCATAGACAACACATGAACAGGTGGGCACGGCTGTTATTTCCATACAACTTTATCTGCAAAAACGGGGGGTGGGCTGATCTGGCCTTGTGGGCACAGTATGCTGACCCCTGGTTCCAATCCCTCCCTGTTTCCCTAGTATTTTCTGGAAATCCTAGCCCAGTCCTCTCATTCTCTTACCCCTGCTCTCCCATTTCCTCTCTCTTGATCTCCCTGGGTACTTCCTGGGGTAGTTCCTCCACCTTCTTTCTCTCAAGTTTTTTATTCCCGCTATCCCATTTTTAATTTCCAAGAATTCTTTTCTGTTCTCTGAATGCCCCCTTCTTATCTCCAGTTTATCTCCCCTTTGACTCTCTGAGGACATTAATGACAGGTTGTTCTGGTTTCTAAGTTTCCACTTCCTCCAGAGCCAAAATTTTCTGTGAGTTCCCCTTTGTCCTATTGTTTTGATTTCTTGTGCACCTAGGTGCTTTCTCCAAATGTCTGGTGATCACTGGCCACCAGCTGACATTTAAAAGCTAACTGGAAGTTCTGAGTGAGTGGGTGGGAGGACCCTGGGGTCCTCACTATTTCACTAGGGAGCCTCTGAGGGCAGTGTGTTTTCTCCTGGGCTAGTCATAGACCCCATCGTGAACCTCACGTGGACAGTCCAAGCCTGGCTGTGATGATTCTAGAACCGAATGGCAGAAGAAAGCAGGGTGTCCCAACAGCATTAAAGTGCGCTTACCCCCATGGTTTTACTTCAGTATTACCCATCTTAACTATTGCTAGTATCTGCACATCTAGAATCCCTCTCCAGAGAAAAAGCTTCAGTCTTCTGCCAAAGTGGGAAAGGGACTGATGTCCAAGTGTGCACATTAGGGAAGGAGATGCTGGGTTCTAGCTGCTTCTCAAATAGCAGTTATCACGAGATGCCCCCAGCCCCCTAGTGCACGCGGCGCTGCCCCTTCCTGAGCCTTTGGGGATTGTGCAGGGCAAAGAGGGCTGCTTCTCAGCCGGCCCTGCTGCAGGCTCACGATTCTGCTCTCCCACGTCTGAAGCAGCAGCTACTTCACTTTCTACACATTACCTGCTTTCTGGCTTCCCATGTTTCATTCCCATTGACTCCTTCATATTATCTATCTTTGTGAGTGTTTCTCTTTAAAAGAAAAAAAATTCCCTTTACTCTAATTATAGCAGGGTTTCACCAGGTAGTAGAGACAAATGGACATTTTCAACTCACCACCTTCAAATGCAACTTCCCTGGCTATTCTTCTAAATGTTTTCCATCTGATCTTTTCAAAAAGTATGATTAGAATAATTTTAAATTCACAAAGAAGATCTTTATTCCCTGCACCTCACGTATCTAAAACAGGTAAGGGATGAAAGCCATCCTCTTCTCTTTCTTCTCCATCCCCCCAAAGTAAAACTCCAGTGCCTTACCTGAGGAACAAGACTGACGTGAATATTACAAAAGTTCTCTCTCTTGACCTTGAACTGGAACTGACGGAAGGCCTCAATAAAGGGCATGCTTTCTATATCTCCCACTGTTCCACCGAGCTACAAGAACAAAGTTATTGTAGAGGTCAAGCACTAAAGGTTCCTCTCGTGCTTTAGTTTTCTAACAAATGCACCTCATCATCTCAGCCCGGTGATCAGCAACAGCATAATGTGGACTCTCCGAGCCTGGCTAATGTCACTTAGCAGTAATTGACATTTCCTTATGCTGAAAGGTTACTTTTCTGGACAGGCTCTCCATTCCCCAAGGTTATAGATCTGGCCAAGAAAAAGTTCAGGTGAAAGAGACACTAGAAATTTTATTTGTACAAAGTCACGAGGCAAAGAAACCTAAATCTTACCTACTTAGTTAGCCGTAATAACTTTTGTATGAAAAAGTATCAGTTATAAACAAACTGCTGGAATTTCTGAGTCCCCTATTTCTGTAGGAACACAGATCCAACAGCTAGGACCAGCAGAACAAGTATAAAGAAACTGAAAGCAGTGGGGCTCATTCAGAGAGATGAACGTTCCTACCAGAGGATAGTTGAAGGTCAGCTGACGTTCTCAAGAGACAGAGGAAAACGTGTCCTGCTGCTCTTACTGGTACAGCCCACAGTGAGCAAATGAACACAGGCTGAAGAGGAGAACCGCTCGCACAGAGGACTGTTGTCAATGGCGTGGCCATTCCCATGACTAGTTCTGTGCCCAGCCCTGCCCCACTGCAGTGAGGAGGGTCAAGGGCCTCACAGGGCACTGTCTTATCAGGTGCTGATGGCAGACTAAGGAGGTGAATGTGTACATTTGGTTAGAAAAGACTCATACAAACCTCAATAACACACACTTGAGGTTCCAGGCCATCTTCATCCACAGGTATTAATGCCTGTCTCATGACCCACTCCTGGATTGCATCTGTGATGTGAGGAACAACTGGAAAAGAGAAAAGAAATACATACCTTACACTTTTCTGTCAGCACTGGTGGAGGCAGACAATTTTATTTATTTATTTGACAGAGAGAGAGACAGTGAGAGAGGGAACACAAGCAGGGGGAGAGAAGCAGGCTTCCTGCTGAGCAGGGAGCCCGATGCGGGGCTTGATCCCAGGACCCTGGGATCACGACCTGGGCTGAAGGCAGACGCTTAGCGACTGAGCCACCCAGGCGCCCCGGAGGCAGACACAACTTACGTGCGAGGCAGACACACTTACGTGCCGCAGTCTTGGCCTAGAGTAGTGATGGGGTCATAAAAATATTATTGAGACCACTTTTTTTTTTTGATAAAAGCTCTTTTTTTTTTTAAAGATGTGTTTATTTACTTATTTGAGAGAGAGAGAGAGCAAGTACACGAGTAGGGGGGAAGGAACAGAGGGAGAGGGAGAAGCAGATTCCCCGCCGAGCAGGGGAGCCCGATGCGGGGCTCGATCCCAGGACCCTGGGATCATGACATAAGCCGAAGGGAGATGATTTAACCGGCTGAGCCACCCAGGCACCCCTGTTGAGACCACTCTTAAACGGCATTTAAAAACCTCTGAGCTCACACTCCCTGTGGCCTCCTTTCCAGGTTTCCAAGTTGTGGCTGGACGCACAAGAAGGTAAGGCCAAGAGTGTGTCCAGAACCCTCATCAGAGCCCTTGTACCCTGTGTAGAGGCCACCCCGGCTGCACCCCACTCATCAGACCCGCTGGCCACCCGCACCACTTACTGCTGAAGGCAGCCACTTCACACGGGGTGCTTTCCAGGCCCCTGTTCCGGGATGTTCCAGCTTACCAAAGGATAAACAGCCCCCGGATAAGAGACAGTACGGGAGGGCAGGGTGGTCAGGAGCGCAGCCTCTGGGGCCACAATGTCTGGATTCATACCTCAGTTCCACCACTCATCAGGTCCGGATCCTTGAGTGATCACTTAACTATTCTTAAGCTCGATTTCCCTATCCGCTCAGTGCAAATAACAGTTTCTACTTCAAAGTTGTGGGAATTTTATGCGACACCACTGGTAAAATGCTGGGCAGAGTGCCTCGCGGGCGGTGCCCCCTGGGTAAAGCCGGCTACGGCTCAACACTTGTTAGGCTCAACACTTGTTAAAATCCTCGTCCTAGGACTCAGGAGGCAAGCCCCTCAGGGGCAGGGATTACTGTTTAACTTGCTGCCTGTTTAACCAGCAGGGCCTCAGGCACAAGGCTATTCCTTATCTATTCCACACTCAGCAGCCAACAGGATCTTTTAAAAATGCAAAACAGAGCACCCCCCCTCCCCTGTTTTAAATTCTTCAGTGGCTTCCCAATGCTCTGAGTAAAATCCAAACTCCGGGGCCAGAAGGTCCTGGGTAACCTGGCTGCAGCCCCCCGACCTCCCTGACGGAGCGCCCGCAGTCTGGGCCCCTGTGCTGACTGTGCCCCCTCCTCCACAGGCCCCCGGGCGGCCTCTCAGCGCAAATGCCCCCTCGTGGGGACTCCCCCTCACCACCTGTCCAAACAAGCTGTCCCCACGCACTCTCTCTCCTCACTATTTACTTCCTTCACAGCTCTCATCAGACATCTTGTTTCATCGGTTTGTTTTGGTGTCACCCACACGCTGGCCTCCGTGGGGGCGACAGTCTCACTGGTCTTGCTCATCACGTAGCCCCAGTGCCAGGGAGGGTGTGACCACAGCTGAGTATTCAAGAAATATGTGACGAACGAATGCATACACGAATGAATACACTGGAGGCCTAGAACAACAAACTGATCGAGATCATCCTAATTCCTAACTGATCCCCTTTCTATGTGTCAGGAACTCAGAGAGACTTTCTTGCCCTCCCAACAATCAGGAAGGGCAGGTGTTATCTCCGTTTGACAGAAAACGGAACCAGATCCCAAAGAGGTTCAGCAATCTGCCTGTGTTCACAAAGCTGGTAAGTGGCAGGGCTACGACCTAAACATGACCCCGTGCGCCCCGAATCGGACCAGGGCGGCCCCAGACTAGAGCTGGCTGTCAGCGTGACCCTCGGCTTTCAGTTCAGCGAAGTCTTAAGCCAAGAGCAGAGTCACTCTCATAACTCAAAGAAAAGACACTTTTCAGCACCTCCCCCCCCACCACCAATTTGGACTTCCGCCATTACACTAGACCAGTGGTTTTCCAACCCCTTTCAAGAGTGGCAATTTTCCCAAATGAACGTGGTGGAGAACCCCAGGGCAACAGACAGACACAAGTGAAGCTGGCTGGTGAGGGTGCAGGAGGACTGGAGCCCCGCCTCTCTGACTCCCCCAGGCCCATGTGTGCCCATGACCGGCCTGCAGACCACTATGCACAAAGAACGTTCTCTTACTACCACTGCTGAAATCAGCCCCAGATGCATGACACATACACACCACCGGGCTCGCTGCCCTGACCTAGCTGCCTTCAACAACTCATACTCCTCACGCATAAAAACAGCAGCCCTCTGGACTCACATCCTTCAAGGGGCTCACAGCTCCAGTGCCATTCACAGAGCGGCAGGGGGTTTCTTCACGTGATTTTTTTTGAGTAGACAGCCGTACAGCTCTGAATTTTCAACCAAAGGCATATGTCAGTAACAATACCTTGACACTTTCAGGCTGAAATTGCATAGAAAGTAAATTTCTGCACACAAGAGAAAGCAAACTGGTTAAGATTTTTTTACACCTTGAAGGCAAATACAGTTTTACCTTGGACGGTTTTCCCCAAGTAATCTCCTTTGCGTTCCTTGTTAATGACATACTGGTAGATCTTTCCAGTGGTCAGATTATTGTCCTTGGTGAGGCGGATGTCAAGGAAGCGCTCATAGTTCCCCAGGTCAAGGTCGACTTCCCCACCATCATCCAGCACAAAAACCTCACCTGTGATGAACAGTACACATGGTCAGGGGAAGTGAAAAACATACGTCAGGGTAAACGTGAGTCTCAAAATGTAAACACGCGGATAGAACAACATCTGCTTTACCCTGATGTGAAGCAGAGAAATTTATTTCTAGAAAACTAAATATGACACAAAATAAAGAAAAATCACCAACCATTCTCCAAAAGGTAATTGCATACTTCCAGCCTACCAACAAGCTCCGTCTGAATCAGGAAGTAACGAGAGAGCATGGGGCGGAAGGAAAACATAGCCTCCAGGGCCACAGATATAGGGAGCTTTACAGGAGTGTGGGGTCTGCTGCCCAAAGAAAAAGAACTTTCAACAAAGCCTCCTACTTGAGCAGAAGAAGGTTTCAGACAGAATAAAAAGCATGAATTCCTTCAGAACTCACACCGGATATTAAGGTCCTGGTGATTAGAAAAAACCAACGTGTGGGCTACACTTTAGTCCCAAACAAAGTTGTGAAACTCAAAGTTTCCCCCATTCCTTTGTTTAGTGTTCATTCCTTGAAACGTCATTCTAGAAGTTTTGCCCATGATGGTTCGTTCTTACCATCACAACAGGAGACGAGCTCAAAAATGGGAAAGGAAGAAAGGTCTTCTTTTCCCCCTCAGACAGAGGTTTCTATTACAGAAACCTCTAGACTCTCATGGCTACATTGCCTGTTTAGATTTCTGCTTCCTCTCTGTCTAGGTGAGAAAAGCAAATTCTGCTACACCAAGGACCTTTCTGGAAGGCAGGAAATGCAAGTTACGTTATGCAAAATGCACACAATTTCCAAGGGCTGACCCTGTTCTTCCACCTACTCCACAATTATTATTTTAATAAAAGAAAGAAATGCATTGTGCTTACCATGTTCATAGGGAGAGAATGTTCCTGCATCAATGTTAATGTATGGGTCAATCTTAATTGAAGTTACGTGTAAACCGCATGACTTCAGTATTGTGCCCACGCTGCTGGCAATGATTCCTTTTCCGATTCCTGATATAACACCACCAGTAACTAGAATGTACTTCATTTTACTTTTTGACCTGGGAGTGGGAGAAGGAAAAATTACAAGTAAGCCAGATCTCCACAAAGCACACATATCTCAGTTCAAAGGCTAGCTCTGCATCCTCCAGGAGCCTATTTCCCTATCCGCCACACGACTCCAGAAGGTTGTTCTGTGGGACCCTAACAAATACTTCTTGGGATCACTGAATGGCTTTAGTCAAACAGGAGTTGAAAAACAACTTGCTAATCTAATAATGCAGCTTTTGTTTAAAGCTTTGACAACTAACAACCTTGAGAGACAACCTAATAAAAAATAAAATGTAAAAATTTAAAAACAGCTCTGCTGATAAAACATTATGCTCCAAATGCTGGCTGACATAACCACCGGACCCTGGGGTACGGAAGCAGGCACCTCATTATTTTCCCTGCACTGGAAGAAAAAAAGATTTCAACCTTGGATGAGCACTCCGATTGCCCACGAAAGACAGAATGTCTCTGGCTAACCTACAGTGTATCACCAAGAAAACACAGCTTCTCCAGGTTTTGGAAGACAGAATAAAAGAACTTAAACATTTAAAAGGAGTTGCAATGAAGCCTAAAAATCCTTTAATTAGAGGTCGTTGTCTCCTGTTAACAACTTACTCCTTGTCAGCAATCTCACTCAGGTGTGCCATGAGGAGAAACTGTACATACTGGAGGAAAAGAACATCAGATACCAAACCAGCCTGAAGCACATAATGGGCAGAGGACTCAAAGAGAGTACAGATTCGATTAAATCCAACGAGCAGTGCAGCTGTGGCCGGGGAGGGAGGAAACAGATGTGGTGAGAGATAAAGGAGTGGATGGAGGCAGGAATGACAGAGGCATGACATGAGGCGACCGCAACAGGCTTGCCAGGGAGAATTCTTCACTGGCCCCTAGCTTCAGAGGCCCAGACACATCACTTGGTCGGTAAATCCAAATGTGACCAAACTGAGAAACACAATCTCCAAGTAGAAGAGAATGCTTGCTTTGGCATGGTCAGGACATTTTCCTCCTCCGGGAACACTTCATGTGAAGCCAAATTATAATAAAAATAAGCTAAGAAAGGAACAAGGAAACTGGGGAGTTCTGCTTCAAGCATTCCCCTGCCCCACTCCTCCCCAAGGCAGGAATGAATACACTTGGCAAAGTAAGAATGCTCAAAAGGACTTCCCCCCTGGATAGCAAGGAAAACACCCAGACCATGACTTGCTCTTTCTATCCTGTTACAGCATGTCCAAAAGCGTGCTCCCTGGTTTCTGCAAAATGTATATGGGGTTCCCATAAAGCCTTTTACAGACAGATAAATCAGAGAAATGCTGTTCAACAGTCAGTTGGTTTAATGCCAGACCTCCAGTAGCCTTTAATAAGTTAATGCACACTGTGAGCTCCCCAAACGTGTACACAGTATACAGTTTTCCCAAACTAATTTGACCCCAACTCCCTAATATTGAGGGGGGGGATACTACTTTCATCACCTCACAGTCAAATGGCTTAGTGACACATGAATATTAGACATGGCTACATTTTAGATGTGTTCTAATCAGGTCTATCCCTGACACTATGACCGGTCTCAGACTCAATTTAAGATGTTCCCAGAAAGTCCGAGCGGGTTACGGAGCAGGTTACTTTTCCAGAAGACTCATCTCATCCATTTGCATTTGACTTGCCCCAATTTAACGTAAGAGGGTAACAGCTCTCTTGAGGGGAGATTCCTGCAGTCTCCCCCAGTGCATGGCAGTGAAGATTCCACTGTGCTCAAGGACCAGGTGGGAGAGGCTGACAGGACACATACTGATGAGTGACCGACACCGCCCCCCCATGGAGGTGCTACTGTGCTACACGCTTTGGGGACCACAAAATTTTTTTTTTTTTTTTTTTTTTTTCTTTGCATTTATTTTATGCAGAATTTACTACCAGGCTGTAAGTTTCTGTTTCTTCAGTTTCTTCTGGGATCTTTTTCTTCTGTGCAACCTCTTCTGGATTAGGGACAATCTGCTCTTTCTCAGGAAGGACCATCTCAATGTGGCAGGGTGAGTTCATGTATGGGTTAATCCAACCGTAAGCCATGTGACACCACATCTTGGGGACTTTGTTCACCTGGATGTGCTCAATGACGACACTGAGGGGGGACACTACTCTGTCACCTCTAAACCCTTAAGTTCATGTGCAGTAAAAATTCAGCACTCTTTTTGGGCCAGCGACACGGTGTGCAGCCCCACCGTTTGGCCTGGGCACACCTACCAACTCCACCATGGTAGCAACAGAAGGGCACACATCACGTCTACAAAGTGACATCCTTCAGACACTTGGTGGCTTTTTGGATATGCATACCCTTGATGGCCTGAGCGGTTTCACGTGTGTTAAGGTAAACACAAAGATTTGAACCTCCTGATTTGCATGATTTTCTGGGTCAAGCGAATAGTGAACCATTTTCAGAGATCACCTCAGGCTGCTTATGGGAAGAGCGGAGACCACAAAACTTAATCAGATCTGGGCTCATAACTCAAGCTGCTGGCAGTCCAGTTAGAGAAAAAAACATTTACAAATAAATGAGTAATCCAGTGATGGTGGGAAACAGGGACAACATATGAAAGGCATACTTGGAGAAGAGAGAGCTGAAAGCTTTCAGTGACAAGACCAAGGTATAGATCATGGCCCAGCAGAAGAAGGTGTGAGAAATTGAGGCAGGGAGAGGATCCAGATTGCTCCTGCTTTGTTGACCAGAGACTTGCAGTGGACTCACCGTAAGACATAAAGCATGGGGAAGGGAACAGAGTGAACAGGAAGGTGAAGGCCATCAATAGAAAACAGAGGTAGGGCCAAGAAAAGAGATAGGGAAACATGGGGGGAAGACAGTGGGAAAGAAGTTGGAAATGTAAGCAAGGGACCAAATCATGGGGAAACTTGAGTGTCCTATCTGAACTTTATTCTGAAGGCGATGGACACATCAGAAGGCTTTGGAGCACAGAAGTAACAAATTAAGATGCATCAGACGCCCTGGCTGGCTATGTAGGTAGAGCAAGTGACTCTTGATGTCAGGGTTCTGAGTTCGAGCCCCACCTTGGATGTAGAGATTACTAAAAAATACAATCTTTATAAAACAACAACAACAAAAAAGAATTCTAAAAAAAAAACAAAAAAGAAGGTGCCCAGCTGGCTCAGTCGGTGTAGCATGTGACTCTTGATCTGGGGGTTGTTGAGTTGAAACCCCACGCTGGGTGTAGAGATTACTTAAAAATAAAAAATCTTAAAAAAAAGTGCATCAGAAGAATTCAACAAAGATGGAAAGGAAAAAAAGCTTTTTTGTTGTGAAAAATGTTTTGAGATCCACCTCCAGCCTACCACTTGTGTACTGAGACCTGTCAGGTCACTCAAGCTGCCCAAAGCCCGGGTCCTTACATGTGTAAAATGGGGTGAGAATCTCCCGCATCGCCTGTCACCAGGACTGTTGAGGACTGGACATTATAATGAGTGTGGACCTAAGTGTGCCACGCAAACGTAGTGAACTTCTTTAAACCGCAGCATACTCACTCCGAGCGGCCGGGAGGGGAGCGGGCCGGCTGTGGGGCCGGAGGGGCCGCACCCGAAGCCCGGCGGGCGGGCGAGCTGCAAGGCCCCTTCCGCCCCCGGGAGTCGGGGCGCGCCGGAGGGGCCGTGGCCAGGCCGCCGAATCCATCCCCCACGCGGCGGCGCGTCTCGGACCTTGAACCGCCCCCCAGCCAGGCTGAGGCCGTGCGCCAGGGCCGGAGGGGCGAGGGCCGGGGTAGTCCCCACCGAGCGGCGGCCGCCGGGGCTGCTCCGGGAGGGCTGAGCAGAGGGGCTCCCGCTTCTCTACGGCCCTCCCGGTCCCACGCGTCATCCCCGGCCCCCGGGTCAGCCGAGCCAGGCCGCGCTGAAATGGGCACTGCCGGCCCCCACGGCCCCGGCCCCGCGGCC